ACGACTATAATGACGAACTATTGTACTGGTCGTATGTTAATTTATATAATAATAATATATATATATATATATATATATATTAATGGATATATATATATATATATATATATATATATCTTGCAGAGGGTTAGCAATCCCATATATAAATACACACATTCACGCACGCACGCACTCACGCACGCACGCACGCACGCACGCACGTACAATCGCGAAAGACCTGATTCCTCGAAGCGTGATCAGGTGGTTCACATTGAACTGTTTCATACTAAATATTTCGCTGATTTGTGTAATAGCTCCCATTCACGGATATTATATAGAATGCGTTAAAATTCCCATCACTGCTAAACTGCTGGTTCTAATGAAGCTTCATTGCCCGTATAATTGTATAAATCTTGCACGCCTGTGTCATTGGCGATGAATTTTCGATCCCTGCTCATGTTTCGGCAATGAATTCGCCGAGTATACTTGCGAAAACGCCGCGTTTTTCGGTCAAAACGTGAGACTACGACGCATGATACATTGTCTGAGACTACGACGCATGATACATTGTCTGAGACTACGACGCATGATACATTGTCTGCGACTACGACGCATGATACATTGTCCGAGACTACGACGCATGATACATTGTCTGAGACTACGACGCATGAGACATTGTCTGAGACTACGACGCATGATACATTGTCTGCGACTACGACGCATGATACATTGTCTGCGACTACGACGCATGATACATTGTCTGAGACTACGACGCATGATACATTGTCCGAGACTACGACGCATGATACATTGCCTGAGACTACGACGCATGATACATTGTCTGAGACTACGACGCATGATACATTGTCTGAGACTACGACGCATGATACATTGTCTGAGACTACGACGCATGATACATTGTCTGAGACTACGACGCATGATACATTGTCCGAGACTACGACGCATGATACATTGTCTGAGACTACGACGCATGATACATTGTCTGAGACTACGACGCATGATACATTGTGGGTGTTTTGATGGTATCGTTTTACATCTTCGTTAATAAATGTTCGACATCGCCGGTGTGGTTCGCCTCGCGTGGTCGGCCACGCGTATACATCACTGCAGAGTCACGTTTAAGCTTCAGCTTAACGCTCCAGCTTACAACAGATCGTGCCATCTTTCTTTATCACCACTCGATGAGTTGACCTTATGGTGCGTTACTACATGACTCAGCAGTGTGATGTTTACGTGTTAAGTTTTCTTATATAGATTATCAGATTTAGAGCCTGTTAGCAATAGTGTTCAAACTCTTCTATTTAGCATACCAGCGCATGCGAATGGTTGTGTGGACGAGCGCACGGAAGGATGGATGAATTGATAAATGGACGGACGGATCGAGGGGCGGGCGGATGAATGAAAGAACGAACGGATAGATAGATGAGCAGAAAGACGGATGAACAGACGAATAGATGGACGGGTTGACGGACGGATAGATAGATGGGCGGATAGATAGATGGGCGAAAAAGCAGACGCAGAGGCGGATAGATGGATTGACGAAAAAATGTTCGCACCTGCATGTCAGCGCGCGCGTTAGTTCCGGTTATGATTGTTCCATATTTGAGTATGAGCTTTCCGTCTTTCATTACCGCGTTTGAATCTATCATCCGTTCAGGAATGCGCCGCGTATATTTCCATTAACTAAACATTTACACCGTCACGGTGCTGCTAACCCAGCCTATAGCTATAGCTATACTGTTCAAATGTGGTTTTTGATATTATGTAGAGATACGCGGTAAGCGATGCAGTTATATGGCTGCATTAGAAATTAATAAAGATGAATAATAGAACATGCTACAAAGGAATAAAAATGAATAATAGAACAATTTAGAAATGAATTCAAATAAGTAATAAATAAGTAGTATAAAGGAATATAAGGACTTTACATCGCCCTGGTATAGATTATAACGGCCCCTGTCACCCAGCACCTTTCGAGCGCGAACTCGCGAATTGTGCCACGCGCTATCAGCGATCTACCGCTCCATTCAGCGACAACAATGCAACGGCTGGTAAAATAATGTCGCATACCTAAAAGGATTCGCCATCCCCCGTTACTTGACCCCGCGCGTGTCATTGTTCGGTGTGATCGGGTCAGCGGTTAATAGTTGCCCGACTTAATAGTTCGGTGACCATTAACCGCGGCCGAGCGAACGATGTAAATAAATGAAGACGTGTGCTTGTTTGTATAACGACGTATTCTTTTATTAGTCGATTCGTTCTCACGTGATGCCGCCTACAATCAGGCACTATCGTATATCAATGTCGGGAATCACAGACGTTATTCGAGTCTGGCAAATAATTCGCTTATTGTAAATAATATAAATTACGATTATTATATATATGCACATCAATACGTTGTGTAATGCACAACATTGTCAAGCGTTTGTACAAATACAACGACAGCACGATTCGAACTGCACCGCCAGTCACTGCACGCGATTAATTAATCAATTCACGATATACTTATATATACACACATATTAATTAAAAGTCATTGGTTTTTACTTAATTACGACTAAAATCGAAACTAAACACCTTCGAATTCACAGTTATGAAAACGCACGCACACACACATGGACACATGCGCGCGCGCACACGCGCACACACATAACGCGAAGACGATATACAACAAGGCTGTGCGCGCTTGTCGACCCGTACGAAACGATGACGTCGCGCGAGGTCGTGGCACGGTGCTGACTAACGTCACATATCTGCCAGTTTACACTTATTACGAGTTCGGAAACCACCAGTTAACCACCCACTAAACGCGCGTTCACGGGTGGGTTATGAGATACCCTGTGGTGCGATTATCACGACGCACTCACGACCGCGTAGACGCCAGATAATAATCTCCAGTACTTGTCAGCGGAGATACAGATCTGACACCTGTCCACAAAAGAACGCTTTCGAGGTCTCCCCAAAGTGATCCATATATATATATATATATATGTTTGACTGCACTACGGGCGTATACGCCTCACACCTTCGCTGACTCTCCACCGAGTGTCGAGCGAATCATTTGTTCTAAGCCCTGCAGGTGGCGCGGCAGTTCCTCGCGGGGAATCTTGTTTGCGCGGGTCAGCTCCTGGCACAGGTCGGTCAGCTGTTCGCTCAGCTTCCTCTTCATCACCTTCGGACGCGTGTTCATCGTTCTGTTGCGCTTGTTCGACAGCCACGCTTTGACCTGAAAGCGGATGATAAGAGTACGAATATCAGCGGGGGATCCGAGCGCTCGTGTACACTGTACAGCCACGTGAAGTCGTGAAAGAACCAAGGAAGGCGTAGGTCTACTGATCATAGAGCCTTCGCTGCATTTACGTAGAAAAACGATGGCTGTGGTAATGAAATCTAACGTGGATGAGATAATAAAAAACTAGCAGTGACCACCCTCTACACAGCGTTTGAGTCGTAAAAGTCTAGTACTAAGGAAATTAAGTAAAAACGAGGTAGTGTCTATTTTCCGTGTTAGCAAAATTAATTTATAGCGCGTCGCCCAATGCTGAAACGCACAATTGTAGATGAAGTACGTTAAAACCAATGCAGCTGACGTTATCTCGCCCATAAAACACCTACCAGCACGGACTACTTGGTAAGAGCTATACGGATGTCATTTACCCAGTAAACCGCCGGCAGATATAGACATATCTCTCGGGTAACGATTGCTTACCTGTTTCAGCGTGATGCCGGCTTGACTCGCTAGCTCGCTCATCTGCTCCTTGTTTGCGTACGGCTCGTTCATGTGCTTCTCGTACCACTCCGTCATGACGCTGACGGCCTTCTCCGACAGGAACTTCCGGTTTTCGACGACGTAAGACTCGCGCAGACGCCTCAGGCGAAGCGTGACGTCATCGGTTAGTCGTACCTGTGAACGTACATGGAATTATAGTGTCGAATTGCGGTTCTTATACATTTCGAGAGAATTTATTCGCTTCGTCTTTCTAGTAGTTAGGCGGTCTTTCGATGTAAATCGTTACAATAACTATATACAATCTAATCAAAAACAAAATATCAATGTAGGGTCCAGTTTAACAAAATTGGGTAAACGTAATAGGGATTTCTGTTGACACATTTGCACACGTCTTTGATATATACGTTTCCATAAATTATAGCATTACATATGGTTATTTATTTCATTGATAGATATCGACCACCGGGTATCGCAAATGTTCGTTCCATGCACTATGTATGTTTTTACCTGTACATTTATTTTTAAAAAACTAATAAAAGACACCTCAAAGAATAGTTTTATCAAAATAGACCTGTATGAAATACCTAAATAATCTATCGGTATGTTATTCTCGGGTATAACCGCCTCGGATACGTAACTAATACACTCGGCCACGTTCTCCGATGTATTGACTCATTGACTAATGTTCTTAGCGGCTATAGAGTTTAAGATTATTTAAGGCTTATACGAAAACTACATACGATAACGTAACGCAGCTGATACCCTGCCTTCACGACACGTATATAATATATACGTTGTGTTGCGATACATGTCTCATGGGTTTACAGTACACGCGCGATATAGTAACAAGGTAAAAACAAGACGTTACGTTATCGTATCGAACCAACGTAGATGGTTATATATGTAGTTACACTATGTAAATACACGATGATGATAATTGTCATAATGGCATAATAGAGCTATACGTACCAGTCGGTAGTTGAAGTAGGTTAGGATCTGCTGCTGCCTGATTGGGTCGTTGTGCATGGCTTTATTCCTCTGCATCAGCAGCACCGTCGACTGTGTGTGGTAGAAATCCTGAAGCTGCGTCACACGCTCGCATCTCAGCCGCCCGTACCGCCGCAGCTCCTTCTGGTAGTTCGTCTCCGCTACGGTGAGGGCGCTCGCGTCGTGTCCGTGCTCCATGCTGAGTAGCGTATAGGGCTGCGCGGCGCACATCCGGGTCTCCTGAGCGAGCAGCGAGCGGAGATCCACGAATAACGGATTCGCACGAAGCCAGTCCGGCACGGCCGAGTGTTGAAACAGTGCTGCCATCGTACGGTGGTGATTCTTCAGTGACGGTGTTGACGGACGTTTGGTACGTATAGCTTCTCTGTGTTTTTGTCGGTGTATCCTCTCTCGCTGTCTCTCTCTCAATATATATATATGTATATATAAAATATATCTATCTCTCTCTCTCTCTCTCTGCGTGCTCCTGTTAGTCGTCTGATGCAAGTGTGGAGTTACCTTGGTCTTATATAGGCAACTAACTTGATCAGGTGTAATCAATCAGGCAGATAATGGCTTACGCCGCGATCAACGACAGAATGGTCCGTTAACTAGCGGTCATCTCTCTACTGGCCTGCTGCTCGCAGGAACCAGTTGTGTTCGGGAGGTAGGGACTCGGATACACCCGCCCAACAGAACAATCTGTACGCCGTCGCTTGTTACACGCTCGCTGCGCATAACTGTTAGACAAACACGAACGCGTGCCACACGCCAAGTCATCGCGGTTCAAAGCCCGTTTGCGATTGACCTTGGGTGCCTCGTAGCCTGAACTAGAATGCATGTTTTGATGCGCCTTCATCATCAGCATTCGTTTAGATGAGAATGCTGTACACACACACGCCACGACAAAATGGTACGTAAACGCCCGGGGACGATGTGTGAGCATACCCCCCCCCCAGCGTATATGTATGTATTATGTATATGTATTAGGCGTTGTATAACTAATATCTCTATGGCATTTACTTGTGAAGAACTGGTCCTCGATTTTGTCTGTCGCTGAGAAAGCTCTAATCTACTGTAAAGAAGCTGGGATAGTCACGATGACATACGACAGTGTTCTTACATGATTAGGTTTTTCTTCATTTTCTCGGCTAACGCTCCATTAGGAGTGTTCTCAACTTTGATATCATTAATGATTAATGATTAATAATTGATAATCCTAACCCTAATCCTAACCCTAACTCTAACCTAAATGACATTAAACTACAAACTAATATATGACCATGACCATATACATATATATATATATGTTATAATGACCATTAATGACATTAAAGTTGGGAACACTCCTAATGGAGTAACACCCATTTTCTCACTAATCATCATCATTATTATTATTGTTGTTATTATAAGAAAGAGTTATACAGGGCCGTAGCTAGGAATTAATGTATGTGGAGAGGGCAAGATGAAAGAGCGCCCGAGGCGCTCGCTTCTAGGGGGGTCTGGAGGCCTGGAAATATAGAAGCTCTGAAATGCCATTTCCATAATATACTATAATACTTTACTATATACTATAATACTTAAAACTCCCCAAACGGTTAAGGGAGTATTTTCTAATCTTAAGTTCCCATTATTCTTCACTGGGTTATTTTTTTGGCAAGGGGGGCAGCTGCCCCCCTGCTAGCTAAGGCCCTGTTATATAAGAATATATGCATATATATATATATATATATATATATATATATATATATATATATGCATGTGTGTTTGTGCGCGCGTGGGTGTATAGAGAAGCGGATGAGAGAGACTTCCATCGCTCGTACTCACTAAACGCACGATAGGCTACAATAGGGGTCACAAACAAGCTACGAGGAATTGTAAAACAAGCGCCATTGAGTGGGTGAGGCACACGCGATATCTCCTGCTGGCTACATATTGAGTGGGGTGCGTCGACTCGTGAGTGGACGGCGTCGCGTGCGCTGTGGTTGTTGATTGATATCGCGCTTGAATGATTGCTGGTTGAGCCGGTACTGTTTACATAGCGTAAACAATAAGTCAACGATGGAGGTGTGCGGTTATGCTGGCGAACGGACACGTGAAAGCAGACAAACAAACACGCAGTACATAAACATCATTATACCAGCCTGTTCTGCTAGCATCTATGACAAATACGACATACGCATATACGCTCTCCTATGACACTGTTTGTCATAGGGAAGATCCTTCCTATGACAAATATTGCTGTATGTGTTGTGCGCATCATAGGAGTTTATGAGCGCTATTTATGAAGCAGTGAATTTCCGCTGTAAAGCGGAACGGAAGTTGACTTGTCAATATTTGTCATAGGAAGAAATCTTCTCTGGAGCAAATAGTGTCATAGGAAGCGTATATGCGTATGTCGTATTTGTCATAGATGCAAGCAGAACATGTTCATATACATATGTGCGTGTTGTACGTGTTTGCTTGTTGCGTACGCACGAAGTGAATTACTGACAGTAATAATCAGCTAGGATCCTATAATTTTTGTGGAGGATTTCTAAAAGTTATTTGTTCTACACGATTTAAATTAAAAGTGTTTACTCTCGGTCGTCTGGCTACTTACGAAGTTATAGGTGTGTGAGCGCGCGAATGGTTTGTGCACGCGTATAAATAAATAAATAAATAAATATATATATATATATATATATATATATATATATATATATATATTATATATATATATATATATATATATGTATATGTGTATGTGTTGTGTGTGTGTGTGTGTGTGTGTGTGTGTGTGTGTGTGTGTGTGTGTGTGTGTGTGTGTGTGTGTGTGTGTGTGTGTGTGTGTGTGCGTGTGTGTGTGTGTGTATATATATATATATATATATAGTATATATGATATGCGTGCGTGCGTGTGCGTCGCGCGGCGCGGCGTGTGTGTGTGTGTGTGTGTGTGTGTGTGTGTGTGTGTGTGTGTGTGTGTGTGTGTGTGTGTGTGTGTGTGTGTGTGTGTGTGTGTGTGTGTGTATGTGTGTGTGATCTCTCTAATGTTTTAAAATTTATTACGTAGTATTTGCTGGTGATATTAATATATTCATGTTTTCAATACATTAATACAATATCAATTTTAGCAACATTGTAAATGTAGAAAGTGCACACATTGATTAACGTATGGAATCGAACAAACTATCAATTAATTACACAAAAACATTTTTTGTTTCACACAACTGACTTTATAATAAATGCCAACAAGTCCGAACTTCCCAAATTTTAAATGAGGAACAACACCTGCCTGGAACAATTTACCTACATAAAATACATGCATGGGAAAACTAAAATAGAGCTATCACTATATTCGGCACATAGCCAATGAATCAGCAAAACTGCAGGTATTATAATAAAATCAAGACACTATTTTGATACTCAAGAATATTAAACGATGTAATTGCGCACTCGCTTATCCATATATCACATATACTAACCTAAATTGGGGATCAACATATTGAGCTTAAACTCCTGCTATGTATAAATAACAAAACAAAATTATCTAAATAAATTAAATTCGCGACAAGAAGGACTCGTGTTACACACTTACAACAATGAATTACCAAAATCCATGTACAAGTTAATTAACAACGCACTAAGCTTTATATATGTATATATAGATACACACATATACATAGATAGATAGGCTAGATGTAGACAGATAGGTTAGTATACATAGTATGCTACATGTTAAATTCAACATGTGAAATCTTTGCTAAAGCTAAATGCTAATAATGTATAAAGAATTTAAAATATACAAAAGCCATGCAAAACTTTAAACACTTATAGTAAGTATAGTGAAGACTTTATATTATAGCTTACTCTAGGTAAAACTGTATTGCCTTCGACTCAGGCCTATATATTAAACAGCAATTTCTCTGGATAACACACAAACAACAAACGTTACATACATTATGGAGTTGTTAATGCGTTCTCATTATATACGTTCTAGCGTCACCTTCTCCAGTAAAGCGCGCACGCCATGCATGTATGAGCCACGCACGCAGCACACAACACACACACACACACACACACACACACACAGCCACACACACGCACGCGGCGCGCGCGCGCCGACACACCAGACACACACACACGCACACACACGCGCGCAAATACTTTTATATATAATACTTTTGGCATAACACATTATATTTCATTAGACATGTAAGCACATGTGATATTTCTTAGCAATTTTCTCAAGCAGCAAGCAAATTTTATATGGATTTCTATACCGATGACGTAGTTGTAGTTTTACACAGCAAGGTATACGCCCTCTTGTGATCGATCTCATGACAGCTATTCACGCTGCCGCCGTGGCGTTGCCTTCCGGTGAAAACTCGGCGTTGGGGAAAAATTGAATTAGTAGGACAAAGTACGTCAAGAATGCTCCGAATATCTGGAAAATATGTATCAACATGAAGATGTAGCAACTCTACTTTTCACGTTATAACATAACGATTAACATATATATATATATTCATTTATCCTGTTTCATCCCAAACGAGATAAGTCAACCTCTACTCACTTCTCATGGTATAGAGCCGATGGAAGCGATGACGTCATACTAAGTCAAATGAATACTTACCGTGAGAAGTAAACTTCTGTTGATACTGAATAAGTTATAAGCCGTAATTTCGAATACTTGGCCGCCGGATAATTTTAGGGCGAACAGAATCATCGTGAAACAAATATTCGATAGTCAGTTGACCTTGATGATTTATTGCGACACGAGAAGCGCAAACGAACGATTTCTCGAGTGACAGCACTTAAACTATAGATGAACTGATCCAGTGTTTACTTTTCTATTAATTGTAACCGTCACAAGATTATTTTGTATATATATATATATATATATATATATATATTGGTTACCTCCAGTTTTTGGTGATTTGGTGCTGCATGCAAAACCAGATCATTTATGGCAGGCAACGGACTGTGAGCCTAAACATAAAATAATAGTCTGTAAACATGGCTGTCGTTTCTCATTAATAACGGATGTTTGTGTCACAATGTTTTACTTGTGTGAGCTGTTTAGGGCATAGATCGAGCCAAACCTTTGAAATCAGCATATATGCACATTGCATGCAACTATTGTGGTGATCTTTGCTTGGGTGCTTGGCTTAAATTGCTAAGGTTAATCTAGGCTCCCCTGCACTCTCATGTATTCCAATTTAATGATATATGCGTAAAATAATTTATAATTCATAAAATGAGTTTGGTGTTTGTATATGTGAAAATGCAAATTAGGGGCACAAACAAAGTAGTCTTATTGTATAATTACATATTGCGGATTTTTGCGGTGGAAAAGAGTCAAACGCACTCACAAATATTTGTTAGCTCGTATAAGAAAGTGTCCAAGGTGTACTTACAGCGTCTGTGAGCCTAGCTGCCGATATGGTTAGCGTGACGATATATTTAACAACAATTCCACAAACACCAATACCGGCAAGACTCGCAAATAGAGCCTTAATCGTAAGTCCTGACATTTCTATGGTAGTGGCGATACCGTAAAGAAAACTGCACAGTAGGGCTACACATGTAGCGTAGATTGCCAGAAGAAGCGGTCCAAAGATGGCGTCGGTGCGTGCCAATAGCGTGCAGAGGTGCTGGTGGCGACGCATCACAGTTCTGCAGATATCCATGTGAGAAACGATTTCTCGATCGCGCACTGAAGACTTTCTATTTTCCTGTTTCGCAACGTTTTTGAGAATTGCCGTTATCTCTGAGAATTCTCCCGTCAGTATTTCACACAGACAGGAGATCAGCGAGATGGGAAGTGAAAATGCATAAAACGCTAAGATTATGATGGTGACCGCTGAAATGCAAAAAGATATCAGTAGCACCTTGGATTTAAAGATGATTCCGTAATCGAGGTACACCTGAACGTAATTATCTCGGTGGTTTATCATCATATACACTAGGCCCGCTGCCGAGGTAAATATAATCAAGCCCGAAGCCACCACAACAGCCATTACAGCAGAGCGTCGCGCCTTGCTGTAAACGCTCATGTTCTTTGAGGAGTGTTCGCGTTTTGCATTTCTTTCCTGCAGGAATACCTTCTTCCAGTTGTGATGGAATTTTTCTAACTTGTATCTTCGCATCGAAAAGAAAAAAATGCTGATGCAAACATGCACGGCTAATAAGATATTAGCAACAATCAGGAAGCCCATCGTAAGTGACGATACGCTGACGGCATATTGGAATGCATAGTAATGTTGGTTGCACCATGCAGTCAGGAATACAGTTAATATAGCAGCAGGGTAGAGGCTAGACCAGCATCCCTGCGCCACGCATGACTCTCCGGGCGGCATTTCTCTCACGGGCCACATCCCGAACAGCTTCATACATATGAGAAGAGGCCGCAGCGCCGCGTAGAGGTTATCCTTCTGAGCTGCTGCACTCATAGAGACGTCATCGGTCTTTTTCTCCTCCACGTGGATAATGCTGACTCTGCGGTGCATTTTTTTTTACCGATGTGATTCAAGAAGATGACGGTTTTGAGTGTGATTGTTGCCGAGTCGTTTACCACTGATCGTCAATAGTGAATATGTGATCCGCGTACCTATACGTATTCCGACAAAATGCTCGCTTCAGACGCAAGAGGCGCATGTGCGAATACGACATCAACGTCATAGTGCTGCGCATATATGCGCAACGCAACAAGCTGCTATATTGTCATTTACTATAATTCGTTGTGTAGACATGCAGATGACACAATAGCAACACACCATTAGTTTCAACATGCAATTTTGCGTAATACAAACATTACCTGTCCATTAGGCTCAGAGACAATGGCCAATACGAACAGCTACATCAAAACGCCGCGGCGCAGTATCAACTTGGCTAATATTGAGTTGTTTTCTCGCCTTACACATACAACATGCATGAATTGTGCACTATGCATACATTTGTCTGTTTTAACCGTGTGTTTGTTTAGCAGAAATGAAGCATTCCACACAGCAAACGATGTGGTCGCGCTTCCTAGAGCAATCAAACAAAACTACTGAATAGTCCATCTGTGCTTTCAATTATCCTGCTACTGGCCTACTAAAATAATCGCTTTTTACATTAGGGGAAGAGTGTGTTGGCGGGGTTCTTTTCTCCATAACGGGAGAAAAAATTCTGGCATATGAGAGAGGTAGAGAGAAGGGGAGAGTAATAGAGAGAGAGAGAGAGAGAGAGAGAAAGAGAGAGAGGGGGAGAGAGAAAGAGCGAGCGAGAGAGAGCGGGAGAAAGAGAGAGGGGAGAGATATGTACAGTTAATTTTAATCGATTATTCTGATTACAAACTTAAACCAGATTCCCCAAACTATTTCTGAACGTGCCATCGTTTTTTATTTGTAAATTGTCGTGTATGTTATTTTCTGATAGATCGGGTAATACTCATTTGCTAGCCGTCGTACCCGTCAGCCATGAGTTCAAGCAAGCTGTCACTCGTAGCCAGATATGACGACCTCCTATGCAATACGGCCGTTCTGACTGCGGGCATCGAATCAGGTACGCACTTATAGTTTATATCACCGTGTCATCTCTCTCTCTCTTTCTCTCTCTCTCTCTCTCTCTCTCTCTCACACACACACACACACACACACACACACACACACACACACACACACACACACACACACACACACCTACATACACATACATACACATACATACACATACA